AGAACTTAGCCTAGCCTAACAGGTCGTTATTATATCCTATGTAGTTAGAAGTAACTTGTGTTCCAGAAACCATGAGCGACTGACTTCACTTTCAGAGATGACTCACAATACTGAGTTCAGAATAAAAGATTCAAAAGTTTCCTCCATATTTTGTTTTATAAAACATGTATTATCATGGTACTAACCTATTTCCATGGGGTCGCAAAGAGTTGGACATGACTGAGCGACTGAACTGAACTGAACATGATATTGCCTCTAAAAATGTCAATGTTCTCTTTACTATTTTTTAAATTAAATCCCTATTTAATTGTTGTAAGTTAAAGCGTTATAAGAACTTAAGTGTTATAAAAACATACATCTCCTCAGAACTCACAAAACCTATGCTCTTTTTTTTCAGTATAGGTGGGAGTGATCTTTTCACTATTATCTCTCCCCATCTTCTTAAGTATTTGTAATAAGGAAAGATGTATGAATGCTGCCAGGAACCATCTTAGAACTTCAAGGAAGGTCAGCTAGGGTGAAAGACAACACCCAAATAACAGGCAAGAGCAGATAAGTTCAGAAGAACCAACAGTTTGATCCAACTGTGCCCAGAGAGTGCTAACTCTGAAGTTTTCAGTTAAGCTGGACCCCAAATCCTGAATTGATACAATGGTTTGAGTTGAAAACACTCAAACTCACACCCTGAGATTCTATGTAAAATGTGAATTGTAGATAACACACATTTTAAATAACTAAACATCTAACCAAAATTCTCGGTCATTAACTGTCATCAAGAAATGTGATTTAATCAATAGGTTCCTAAAAAACAAAGGAAATAAACAGTCCCTACAACATGGTTTTGTATACCATGTGCAACAAGCAGAGATCTTAATGTTAACCACATACAAAAGCCACGTGACTATATTTATTCATCTTTATATCTCTGGAATGCTTTAATGCCCTACTCATACAAAGTATAACAAAAAAGCTCAATTCATTATATACTCATTTATGACTTCCAAGGGAGAAGGTCACAGTGGAACTCTCCATAATATATTCACTGAGACTGTGTTGGTAACATTTACTTTTATATGCCAGATTTTAAAATAGTTCGTGATACATAATAGGTATTCAGATACTCATCAAATAAATGCTGAAAACCCTAAACTACAAGTATCACAACATACATTAAAGAGACATGGGTATCTTAAATACTTTGGCAGAAGAATATATTTACTTTTCCAAGCTATCCAACATAGAATTTAAAAGGACTGGTTATCTGAATTAAACAGTCTGGCTCTTCCACATTGGAAAATATTTATTCTCAAGGAGGGCTTACTTCTGTTGGTCCACAGATATGTATTGAGTAACTGCAGTACAAGGACAAATGACATACCACTGCATGATAAGCTTTTCTCAAATATTTTAAATGGTCAGATGTACCAATTATATTTATATCCTCATTGCCAGGAATATACATATGGATTAAAGTGAAGATTTCAAAAATTTATGAAAATAATTCAATCAGAGGCCAAAAATAATGATTAAATATAGATCATTTCTTGTATTGGGTTTTTTGCCCATCAAAATTCTAAGTCTCCTGCATATTATACTCTATCATCTAATTTTACATGCCAATCTACTATCTCTTTATAAGCTAACATGTGATCCCTTGCTAATAGTTTGATCCCTTTGGGTTATTTAGTGCATTTGTACTGGACTGCTCACTTATTTTGTTAAAAAATAGGCCTTTATCTGATTGCACAAATGCACCTCTGTTGAGGGTGCCAGGGTAGCCCAGTCATTGGACCCGTAAACAAGGACTCCTGAGAATTGGCTTTTCTGTTCTGATGGCAATTACTTTAACGAAAATAGCCCAATTTTTGTCCTCCTACTTGTTTCCATCTGTGAGATGAGATTTATCATCATTAACATGGGCACTACCCAATTAAACTGACATACTAGAGGGGTCAAAAATTTTATCAATTGCACAATTCGGTAGAAATGAAGTGTAAAGAAAAACTGAAAATAGCAAATGCATCCTTATCCCATAAAAACCTAAGTTGCACTGACTCTTTTATTCTCAAGAGAATTTTTAATATGACAAACTCTTATTAAATATCAAAACAAAATGCATAAATGCCAAAACCCAGGAGAAAAGGACAGTAACTAAAACCTTATAGGCCTCTAGTCTCAGGAGAGGCTGCTGGGTCTACCTGTGCTGTTGGCTGTGATAAACATGAGAGTGGGAATCAATAGGGAGATAAGATAAATACGATTCCTATATATGAAGAGGTAGAGAAGGTTGCTGTTGTTGAACAACAATATAAAAAACTGATAAACTGAATATACTATTAAAATCTCAAAACATGCCTTAAATCAAAGGGGGCAAATAGTTGAAAATATACTACAAAGAGCAAATACTTAGACTAACGATGAGATTACATTCCCCAGTCTTTTCCATTATTGGAAAAATGTGCTTTTCAAATAAATTAATTTTCTAATACATTTCTGTATACAAATTACACAGCATATTACTTAAGGCTTAAGATTTTAAAGAGAAATAATGTAGTAAATAATTTTAAAGAAATATATTTATATGTGAAAAGGGGGTTTATGATGTAAAGTAAGAATATCATTAAAATGCACTACATATACATGTATGGATAAATTTATGGATTTATAAATATTAATAGAAGTCATTTATAGAGCCTTTTTATTATCACATAGATTATACACTGTACTAGCCTAACTTTCCATGCTTCTAATTTAGTGCAAATCTTACATATATATAATCAAATTTAGGCAATGGGATAATAACCAGGTGACATAACAAATTTCAAGTAACTAAAATTACATAGTGAGCTTAAGCTTAATTTTCTTGTAGTTGCTAGCTATTATAAGTTCTTTTCAAAATTTGGTGAACTGTAGTATTATTTAGCTTGATTGTGTGAATAAAAACAGCCATGTGATGGAAGAGCTGATCAGAATATTTATCCTAGAAAAATATGGAGATTTGGCAAAATGCCAGGTAAGTTAGTTTTGTGTTCACTGATAAGTTGGGTTGCTATAGCAAGCCCATAGTCACTGGGTTTCTAAGCAACCTAAGACTCCACAGACTTAAGATACTTAGGAGTCCACTGATCTTTCATCATCCTTGGGAAAATTGGAGAAACTGTGGTACCAATCTCAGTGGGAGTTTCCCCAATTATCTAGTAGAGCAGTGACCCTTATACAACATCCCCTGTATTGATAGATTTAATTTATTAAATAATGATAGTCATACTAGAGAATTAATTGATTACCCAAAGTGTTAAGTGGATGAAATTAGGAACAGGAAATGATCAATACCTAGTTTGTTGTGGGCAAACAAATGTGTGTTGAATGAATAAACAAGATTCAACACATAATCCAACCCTCCAAAGTGATTTACATAATGCTGGCATTCATAAAGTCCTTAACTTTATATATATATAAATATATCTGTTTAGTAGCATTCCTATAAAGCATGCATCTCAGTTTTTTTGTTTTGTAATCATTTACATTTAGGTAACATACATAATTGTAAGTCTGCAATTATTTGTGACTTTAATTCAAAATATTTAATTATGGATTGTCTGGAATACTTATGTAACAATATTAACTACCAAAATGTCAATTAGAATTGTATCCCTCTAAGATGCAAGCAAAGTTGTGAACTGTCCTTTGAATGAGCTTTTATTAACATTTCCTGTCCTTTTCTATGTTAAATACTTTTTAGTCTTGACACAGTACTCACTGAGGCAAACCATTGCATCCAATTTTAATTTACAGTTTCCAGCTATTTAAGATAATCACAATGATATAAAATTAAGGTGAGCCAATATTGTCTGTTCCTACAAAACACTGTATCATAATATAGGCTGAAATAAAATGTCATTAATAGAAATAATTATGTGTGGCCAATAAAATGATTAAGTCTGGAATCTGTAAAATTTTACCTAATTCTTATACCTGGTTTTCTCTGCCTCCCATTGTCATTTTATGTAGCTTGTTCTTGCCATGAAAAACCTCATAAGAATGATTTGCAAAGAAAAAACTGGCTTTAATTTAATGGCAAATTTTATAATGTTACTGCTTATATGCTGTTAACTATTGCATTAAAGATTCAGTAGCCCAAGTCAGGTATGCAGTACGATGACTGAGTTTCCCTAACTTGAGGATAAAATAAAAATGGCAAAGTCACCTGTCTAGCAAGTCACAGTAACCCCTAGTGGACTAGACCCATTCCAGGAATGTCCCAGTACAAAGTGCCTTTAACCTCTACTGGTTGGTGGTGTTCAGTGGCCAGGTCGTGTCCGACTCTTTGCTACCCCACGGACTATAGCAGGCTTCCCTGTCCAAGACTTCCCTGTCAGTGGGGGAGGATAGATTCTTCTTTCTCCAAGACTGGAAAGAACAACTGCTCTGCCTTACAATCTTAATATGAGAGTCTCAAACATGTACAATACTACTCATAGTAGTATACAGTACTACTCATCATAATTGCCTCTTCAGGTAAAAGTGGCCATCTATAATTTAAGTCTTCCTGGGCATGTATTTTCTTTAGAATAAAAGATAGCTTTTGATCTTTTAATATATTGCTCTACTAAGATATTCCTCCATTGTAGCATGTATACAAGCATAGGTGTGTTGGAAGGTTTAGACAATTTCAAATATTTTTGAATATCCTCTTATCACCTAATATTTAGTTATTACTGACAACATCATAGCAAAATTACAAAAGCTGACCAACTCCTTCTGTTTTCTTTTAGACACAATTTCTTATCTAAAAGCTTGGGACAGGCTTCCTTAATGTCTATACTATCTCATATACTCTATTCATTAGGAGAAGAGAAAAAATGCACATACAACTTAAACTGGACAAGAACAATGCAAAAATCAGATCAAAGTAAGAGACTTTAGTATTACAGGCACTGGTTTTGAGTCCTACTTTGTTAGGTTAGATAACTTCACAGTGATAGTATAGGTGTAATTACCAGTTGGAAGTCCGATGAAAAAGTGCAAGGCCACCAGTGTCAACGCACTTTCAGAATGCTGGTTGGAGGACAACGAAATTAACACTGATGACTCTTGTTGTGTCTGCCTCAAGTGCTGGGTCAAATCTCCGCTGTACATCAGTCAGCCCCACCTCCAAGTATCCAAGAATGGCTGTGGAATTTTGATTGACACTCCAGTGAGGCAGTGGGATTCCTAAACCAAAGTAAACCCTGCAGCTTGTGTTTGCCAAGCTCTCTAGCTTGAAAATGAGCTGCTCTTCTCTTGGTTCTTTCCTTAAAAAAGAAACAATTACTCTGTGATGCTTAAAGGAACACAGAAGCAACTCCCTCTCCAGAGATATCCCTACTTATTTTCTTATAGCAATTCCCTTGACTGCTTTCATCCTTTGTCTTTGTGTAGGACTTTATAGTCTTCCTAGGAACCACATAACAACATTGCACACTGGCCTTCAGGATAAGAAACAAGGCATCAGTGAATATTCTAGTTTGTGGAAAGCTGGAGATGATAGCAGCATTGGGCAGGGCTTTGCAAAATGGACAAGCTCAAGTTTTTGCTAGTTATGACATTCTTTTGCCATGTAAGATTAGCAATGTTTGGTGACTATGCTATTATATATGCAACTCATAAGAATGAAGAAACTAAGATAAATATATTCTAAAAGCAAATCAAGCCATTACAGTATATGCTAAATTAGACAAAAATATAAGATTTTCCTGATAGTACTTAAGGCATTAATTCTCTAAGGATTAAAGTTGATGACATGTATCCTCATACACACACCCACACACATACTTAATGAAAATCTGATGTGTCCACTGTGTTCTTAGAATCCTGTCATCAAGAAGAAGAAAGCCTGATCCTTCCAGTGAGATTTTCTGTAATGTACTTCAAAACCTTGCAAATAAAATGCAATGATGGAGCATTGAATACTTTTAATCTAAGTGGACAGCTATTAGTTGAGAATATTCATTCTAGAACTGTTTACTTAGCATGTAATCAAAATATGTATTTTAGTTGCCTTTTCTCCTAAAATTTCTCCTGGAAATTTTCACAATAAATATAACAGAGGTTATTTCACTGGTGAAATTAATGGTTTCAAAGATTTATGAACTGACCAGAAAAATTACTGGCTAAATCTCTATCCGTACATCACAGGCTATAAAAACCCACCAAGTTCATTGTCTAGCGCTTGATTTCAGGGCATTCCTGGCTGCCTGACCGGGATTGGACAGTTAGCTGAATTCTATAGTTAGCATGTTGCGTGCGCCCCTGATGAGACTTCCAGGCAAGAACTACTGGGACACTTGAAAGACAGAGTGGGTACTTCACAAATCCCATGGAGCAGGTTGGGGAACCTTGCCACTTAACTGCTACTTTACTGCTTCTGTTAGAAGCCAATACTGAGAGGGCTTGCTTTGTACACCTTTTGAGAAAGATCTGTGGTTCTCCCCATTGTTATTTATTGAAAGCTACCAAGATAACCCCGTAACAGTGTGTGCCCAACTTGGCTTGGATAGTTTAGCAACACTTACCTTAAGAAGCTCATATTCTAGAGATGCAGCTTGGACATGGAGGACAGTTACACAGAAGGATTCTAGAGGAGCAACCACAAGGCTCTGGGCTCACGGGACACCCACATTTACTCAGTTAAAAATAGCTGTGACTCTTAGTTCAAAGACCTTTCACCCACTTCCATGTATGACACGTTTTTTCTCTCTTGCTCGTGACTTTATATTACAAAATGTGAAGGAATTTTAAGAATCATCTATTCTTAATCATTTAACATTTAACATCCCTCAGGGATCTGAGGAAATGCTCATCTTACATTGCCCTAAGAGTAATTAAAAAAACAAAGCCCCTCAACTGAAATATTGCTCTCTTTTCCTCCTGATGTTTCTTTTTATTATTTTTATTTTTTGTATTTCACATATCTTCTCCCAGGATCTGGCCTGATATTTGCTAGTGTATTACTTTAATATTTTTTGTGTGCTGTTATACTTTCGGAAGTGCTAGTCAATTTAATATTAATTTCCTGGGTAATTGGAATAGTTTACACCTCTTTGATTCCCATATACTGTACCCTGTTACTAGAGTAAGGTTAGTTTTTTCTAAATTATTTGGGTTCCAGTGCTCTTGCCTTTTTAAATTTTATTTTATTTTAAATATGCTTTTAAAATTATCTAAATTATCAAATATAAAAACAGAATACTATTTATTCCTCCTTATAAGGACAACTTGAAAAGTTCTAGGAAAGGATAAGGGGGAGGACATGTATTGGTTGACATACTATTATGGATCAGTTGTCAGGCTAAATACTTCCATGTTATTATTTAAATCTATAGAAAATTCTCTAATTAGGTATGGCTAACCTACATTCCTACAGAGGAGACAATTGACAGAGAAAATTAGAAAAATTAGATAAATGCTAAGATTTCCAGCATTTGCATGAAATGGATCACCTTAGGTTTATGCATCCAGGTGACAAGTAATATCAAAGATTAGGATGCCTGATCATGAAAGGCATTTTTTGCCCTTATCTAAATCCTTACCTTGTGTCAGTATAAATCTCTCAGCAGATGCATTGTGCTATGCTACTTTGACATTTCAGAATTATTTATTATTTTCATATATGAATTATAGTTAAAAACTCATTGGTTCACAGAATTACTTAATTTAAGAAACTATTCCTCCTTGGCACCAGATACTCCTGGGTCCAGAAATTATGAAAATAAAACTCTAGCTTCATGGAGTGGCAGACACATAGAAAAATTATTATGAAATCATACAATAGATGGTCTAATGGAAGGTTTATGGTACAGTGGGAAAACCTACAAAGGGGGTAGCTTTTAGAAAGTGAAGCTTCATAGAGAACCTAATATTGTAGCTTCTTCCTCAAGTATGAGTCAGAGACCAGTCACCAAGTACTGACTAATACAAAGAACACGCCGTCTGACATAAAGGCAGAGAATATTTCTCCATCTTTCGTAAGATATGGCAGTTTCTGCCAGAAGATAGTGACTTCAGGGGAAAAAATATGAAAAGCTGCTGTGGCAACAAACATATAAGATTAAAAAAATTAATTTCAAATTAATTGAGTGTCCACTTTTTCTAGGCACTGTTAGGGAACAATGTGTAGTTTCACTTTAGCATTTAAAATAAATTTTTATTAAACTGCCAAAAGTTATAACTTCTGTTGCACAGGAACTAAAAATTCTGCTTCAAAGCACAAAAATTTTTACTTAATATTGAGAAAAGAAAACCATACTGGATGTCTTTTACAAGTATTTTGTTATGTTACTATGTCTGTATAGATTTTTAAAAGCTTATTTAAATTTATCTAAGTTTATAAGATATATATATATGTGTGTGTATATATATATATATCTTTGGAAGGGTTTCAATGATTTTTAAAATGAGTATTAATCAGACTAAGTATCAAGGGGAAAGTGTTTAAGATACAGATTTCTTGTTGCATAAGGAATATAAATTTTAAAAAATATATTAGTATATTTCTGTGTCTCTTACCAGATTCCAAGGGAACATTTCATGAACAGATGGGCACAATAAAGGACAGAAACAGCAAGGACCTAACAGAAGCAGAAGAGATTAAGAAGTGGCAAGAATACACAGAAGAACTGTACAAAAAAGTTTCTAATGACCCGGACAATCACAATGGTGTGGTCACTCACCTAGAGCTGGACATCCTAGAGTGTGAAGTTGAGCGGGCCTTAAGAAGAATCACTACAAACAAAGCTAGAGAAGGTGATAGAATTCCAGCTGAACTATTTCAAATCCTAAAAGATGATGCTATTAAAGTGCTGCACTCAATATGCCAGCAAATCTGCATAACACAGCAGTGGCCACAGGACTGGAAAAGTTCAGTTTTTATTCCAGTTCCAAAGAAAGGCAATACCAAAAAATGTTCAAATTACTGTATAATTGCACTCATTTCACATGCTAGCAAGATTATGCTCAAAATCCTTCAAGCTAGACTTCAGCAGTACGTCAATCAAGAACTTCCAGATGTACAAGCTGGGTTTAGAAGAGGCAGAGGAACCAGAGATCAAATTGCCAACATCTGCTGAATCACAGAAAAAGTAAGGGAATTCCAAAAAAAACCATCTGCTTCATTGACTAAAGTCTTTGACTGTGTGGATGACAACAAAGTGTGGAAATTCTTAAAGGGATGGGAATATCTGACCACCTTACCTGCCTCCTGAGAAACCTGTATGCAGGACAAGAAACAACAGTTAGTACTGGATATGGAACAATGAACTGGTTCAAAATTGGAAAAGGAGTACGTCAAGGCTGTATATAATCACCCTGCTTATATAACATATATGCAGAGTACATCATGTGAAATGCTGGGCTGGATAAATCACAAGATCGAATCAAGATTGCCAGGAGGATATCAACAACCTCAGATATGCAGATGATACCTCTGTAATGGCAGAAAGTGAAGAGGAACTAAAGAGCTTCTTGATGAAGGTGAAAAAGGTGAGTGAAAAAGCTGGCTTAAAACTCAACTTTTTAAAAACTAAGATCATGGCATTTGGTCACACCATGTCAAATCGATGAGGAAAAAGTGGAAACAGTGACAGATTTTATTTTCTTGGACTCCAAAATCACTCTAGGCGGTGACTGCAGCCATGAAATTAAAAGATGCTTGCTCCTTGGATAAAAACCTGTGACAAACCTAGACAGTGTATTAAAACGCAGCAACATCGCTTTACCGATGTAGGTCCGTAGAGTCAAAGCTATGGTTTTTCAGTAGTCAGGTATGGATGTGAGAGTTGGACCATAAAGAACGCTGAGTGCCGACGAATTGATGCTTTCAAACTGTGGTGTTAGAGAAGACTCTAGAGAGTCCCTTGGACTGCAAAGAGATCAACCTAGTCAATCCTAAAGGGTATCAACCTTGAATATTAATTGAAAGGACTGATGCTAAAGCTGAAGCTCAGTACTTTGGCCACGTGATACGAAGAGCCAATTCACTGGAAAAGCCCCTTATGCTGGGAAAGATTGAGGGCAGGAGGAGAAGGGGGTGACAGAGGATAAGATGGTTGGATGGCATCACTGATTCAATGGACATGAGTTTGGGCAAACTCAGGTAAATAGTGAAGGACAGGAAAGCCTGGCATGCTGCAGTTCATGGGGTCACAGAGTCAGATACAACTTAGCAACTGAACAACAACAAATGTCTCTTACTACAGGTAAAGCATATCGCCTTACTGGGAATGTTAGGGGTTAGAGAAAGCAAGCATTTATATTCACGGCTGAGGAAATAAGAAACCTGAGGTTGTATAAATGCTAACTCATAATAAGACAGAAACACCAATGCAACTGTATTTTTAAAAAGTAATAAACATGGGGAGAATTGATTTCCATTTGAAAGCACAGAGGAAAAATATTTTGAAATAAAACTTTCTTGGTTCAGTTATTTTTACCATAAAACATTCTTAAAATATGAATAGTCTATATTGTAGCATTTATGTCATAGAAGTTAACTTTTTAGAAATATGGATTCACCTCTAATCTTTTTTGTTCCTCTCACTTTAAAAGTTTTTTCATACTCCAATACCAAAAAAAAAAAACAAAACCTGAGCCTAATACATCAGAGGACCCAGAATATTTAAATTAAAAGTCATATTCAACAGTTTCCTTACTTCATGATTTCTGAGTCTTACTATTCTCATAACACAGCTCCAAGAGAAGGTCCTGGTATGCCTTATTTCCCAAACTTATTTGACCATATGTCACCCTAGGATATCTTTATTAACATCTACTGGAACAGGGTTTCATAAAGACATTTGGGGAAGTGCTGAATTAAATTAGAAGGACAAGTAAAAATTTCTAAGAAAAAGCAAAAGAGAGTGTATCGGTGGTATATCTGACTTGAAAGGTTAAGTCTACAACTTAAATTATCTTACAGTCTTTGGTAGGGCTTCCCAAGTGTCACTGGTGGTAAAGAAAGTGCCTGCCAATGCAGGAGACATAGAGACAGGGGTTCAATTCCTGGGTCCGGAAGATCCCCTGGAGTAGGAAATGGCAACCCACTCCAGTATTCTTGCCTGGAGAATCCCACTAGTGAAGCAACTTAGCACACACACATAACCTTTAGTGACCTGTATTTTTTATCTTTGTAAACAGGAAGAATGAAGAAGAGAGTACAGGAAAGAAAGAGAGACAGACAGACTTGAGATGGGGAAAGGGGCAGTCCTTTGGGCTGCAGGAAAAAAGGAAATTCAGACTGCCCTGGGTCTGGCAAGCAAATAAGTTGATAACTATTGACTTCTTATGAAGCCCAAATATAGCAATTGTCCACATAGGGGGTTTGTCTTGTAAAAACTTGCTTAGCTTGACATCTGTTGATCAATTGGCTCTGGCCAGACAAGGCAGGGTCCTTGATGGTTGGTTGGGTCTTTTCTTTTTTCGTGCTCTGGGACACAGGTTGATAGTCTGGGTTCTGCAGAGGAACTTTGGGACAGAGAGTGAGTGGGTAAGATTGCAGACTGTGGAGACAAGTTGTTGGGTTGATAGTGAGTATCCCGAATGGTCTTGAACCTGTTGCTTGACTTCTCTGTGTTTCAGTTTCCTCCTCTAAAAGATGAGGACGATAACAATATTTATTTCGTAA